CAGCATCATTTTCATTTCAATATGTCTGAAACAGTTTGGAAGAAGAAATACAACAAATTATTTAACAGAACAACAACCAATTGAGAAATACTTGACAACCAACTGACAAACACCCGACAGTTTCTTTTTTTATTACATTCTCTAACATTAATGTATGTAAATTAAATGGCACTTTAATTAAGACTAAGAACTGACTAAATCAAGTGTAGCCTTTTGCCTCTGAAAAATTGCAAAGAATCTCCTTTTTGAAAATTAAAAAACAAGCCTACCAAGCCTTGGTCTTGGCCTGAAGACCATCTCTAATCCTTTTACTTCTAATGCACAGTTATCCTGTAGCAACGACCCCCATGGCACAGATAAAGAAATTGATTGGATAAATCCATCTGTGACTTCCAGAGGAGCATCTGCAGACTCCAGGATCTCATTAAGACACTAAAAGAAATAAAAATAATAATAATAATTAAAAAGAAAAAAAAAAGTCACATCCATAAATTTGAGTATAACAAATGAAACATATTGAGGCTACCAGAAAATGAATTATGTTGATTCCATCATAATTTGTTTCACAATAATTACTTAGTTTTCAGCATAATACAGATTTCTTTGTAGTAGCAGAAACACAGGTTATACAGCATTACACCAAAAAATTCTGTTATCTTACTGTTAGAAATACTATACTACTGACACAAGTTAATCTATTCTTTCACTGGCAATACTTGAAGAATGCTGAAAACAGGCTGACAGTAAAAATGCAAACAGTACCTGGTTTCTTGGCAAAAGTATTTCACAAGCATGTAATTTCAAAACAATGTTCATTTTACCTTTCTCTGTGAGAATGGAACAACCACATCTTGCTGTATAACATAGTTGCCATTTCTAAATCCTATTTTAATGTGTTCAATTTCAGCACTAATTTAAAAATCAAAGCTCATGGGACAGACCAATATTCTACAGAAACTGTTCCATTAATCCAGTCCTTTATAGTAACATTATAAACAAAACTACAATCAATCAAGTTGCCCTCAGTATCATACAGAGTAAGAGTGACATTGATGAAAAAAAATGGAACACCTGCTCTGAAGTAACTTGGGCTTTCTAAGTTTTCCACAATCCTCAGGAAAGACTCACTTACTGCACTATATAGCTTTCATTACCTCCATACAGAGTCCAAAGAGCCTGTTTGCAAAGGAAACACATTGTTTGCATTTATGTTAAGAAAAAAAAAAAAATATGCAAACCCGTGTATGTGCCCTGATCCAAAAATTTAGTTAAAACTAAGTTACTGAACAAGAACTATCTAGGCTGCTTTAATAAAATAAAAAATAATCTCAATCACATACCAAATTTCCTGAGTGCAACTTACTAATATATACAAGACCCTACTAAAGACTGTGGTTGTAATATTAGGACATAATCTTCAACTGGCAAAAAAAAAAAAAAAGTGTGGTTTTGACCTTCCTGTGTTGAACAGAGCCATTGATTTTACCTGAGAAAATGCATAATTTCGACACTGAAAGTTTGTTTTTTTTAAAATAAGGATTTAAAAGTTGCTGTCAATTTTATTTGCATTTAGAATGATATTATAATTATGTAGAATAATTAAAAAAAAAAAGACCAAAAAAGTCTTCAGAAAATGACATTTTTCACTTATGTCTCCAGGTGCAATTTTCCCATCATTTTAACTTGTTGCTCTACTTATGCTCTTAATAACTTTGCTTTTAGAATCTTGTTTGCTTGCATGTTCAGCTTTTCTAGTTTCTGTTCAAAGTCCATTCAAGTAGCAGAAAAAGACACCAACTTTAAAGAAACAGAACCTCAAACTTCTATTAAGAAATTATTTTAGAATCAAATAATCATCTAAGATTCAGCAAAATTAAAACTTTATTTTGAATTAAATGTAAGAATCATAGATGTGGTAATAGCATAAGACAAGGCAAAAATAATTATTTGGCATGAAAACCACACTTGAAAATATCACAGATTCACTTAAATTAATTGAACCATTACAAAATAATTTGCTATAGCAAGAAGCAAGCTAGTTACCAAAAGCTATTGTGAATAAATCTGATCTCGGATGCTTTTTTGCTACCAACGTACATGGCAATAAAAATCAGTGTATTTTAGTACCTTCCTTATCTCTTTGAAATAGAAATTTACTATCTAAAAGCAAAAAAAATTTCAAGTATTCTTGCAGTTAAATTACTTCATAAACCAGCCAGTTGTTCCTAGAAAATAGCAATTAGAGCATTCCAAGTGAAATTTTAAAACTGAAGCACAGGACTGATTGCCACATTTTTGACTGAAAGTCACAGTAATTCTAGCAGCAAAAGTACCATTTGATGTATATGAAAATTCAACCACAAACATCGTGGGTTACATTTTGATTTTGTTAAACAGTCCAGGTGCAAGAGGCAAAGGGGTTACATTAATAACCCCGGGTATTCCTACATACCTCTATAATCTACAAACACATACAATATGGGCTAAAATAGCTACAATGTTCAGATGAACAGAAATATCCACAAAAATGGATAATACGTAAAAATACAGTCATCCTGGTGATTCATAGTGAACAAGCTTACAATGACTAGGGGGAAAAAAAAGAGCTGTAGTACTTCCGCGACATCTGTTTTTGCAATCTGTCATACATGAGAAAGTCACGTGCAGAGAACCTCAAACATGTCATTGTCTACAAGCCAAAAAAAAAAAATGCTGATCTACAAACGGGGAAGATAACCTAAACATTATTGCATATACATTTAATCACTGTGTATACATAACTAACTGTTCATTTAGTACTGGTTCATAACTGCTGCTGTTTCAAAGTATTTACACTTTAAATAATGTCACTTTGGCTAGTGAAGAGTGCTGTGATACCCACTAGAGGGCATAGTAATGCTATTAAAGCGAGGCAGCCTTACCGCCTGCCACAGAAAACAAGCTGCAGACACAGCCAGAAAAGAAAAGAAAACAAAACAAGCAAACAACAAAAAAACCCCACGCTAAACCGCTGGTAATATCGAGTATTTCTGTAAACGCCTGCCTCCTGCCACTTTCAAACACATTTTCACACAAACAATTGGAAAAGCATTATTTGAAAACATCACATATTCACAAGTATTTTAAAATGTACCCAGCCTGGCCTAATACCAGAACGTAGTATAGTAAAAGCACGTTTTGAAAGTACTCTGTAAAGCAACAAGCCTGTGTACCTACTCCATCGTATGTGCTACCCTGGAAGTCAGCGACTGACGCACAGCAGTGCTTAAGGCTTCTCATGACAGTCACTTGACTGGCAGGTAGAATTCACATTGGTAATTAACCCCAGAAACTTGACGAAATATTACAAGCACCGACACAGACCTTTGGATTACTACAGTAGGCTGGAAGTATGAATACGTCTGTGTATGTATAGTCGCATACATATATACATAAAACAATACACACCGGGACCGAAAAAAAAGCTTCAGTCGGTTCAAAGCGTGACAGCCCACCTGCTAAGCCAACTCCAGCCAAAACAGCTTTCCATCTGTCAACAAGTATTTTCACCACTGCAAGACTGGGGAGCAATTTTTCGAGATCTAAATGGACTAAGCTCAGCATAACACTGCCCATAACAACCAAGATACCTCCAAGATGAAGACAAAGCACAAACAGAACAGGAATTACTTTGTGGTTTTTATGATCTCTGGAAGCAGTCAGTAAACATGCTCCGCAGTAACTACAGCAGCAATTTCTAGTAGTTTGGGCTACACTAGCTCGTGCTCCCTGAAATACGAGCAGCCATTGCTTTCTTTCAGTTTTTGTTTCCTTTTTCGTAATTTAAAATAACGAAACCAGAAGTATGGCTAGAAAAACACATTCATAATAAATGCCCAGATATTTTTTTTTTTTAAAGCGCTCGCATATCAGAGAGGAGTTCCCTGGATGAAATGCTAATTACGGCTGTAACTTTTTACATAAAGGAGGCTGGGTATTGAAAATAAAGTGGGTGGCAGCCGGGGGCAGGGAATCAGCTGGTCCCTCAGACGCAGCGGGAGCCGAGGGGGTGAAGCGCCGGCATCTCTTACCCACTTATCCAGAGGGACCTGCGTCAAGGAGCCGGTGCCCTGGTAGAGATCCAGGCTGAGCTGCTCCAGGCTGAGCTTCTCCTGCAAGAAGTGGCCCAGGTACCTCTGCAGCAGGTACCTGCAGGCCCTCTTCTTGATGGACTCCGAGAAAGGCCACGGCATGGCGGCTGCGCGCCGGGGGCCGCGGGGCCAGGCGGCGGGACGGGGACGGGG